TCCAGGAAGGACTGATACTAATGTTTGCAGTTTTAAAGAAAGAAAATATTTCAATTTAATGACATCTTAAATATCATAAAATAACTATAATATTGTATTAATAATATATACGTATTTTCAGAAAGTGTTTTTTTTTATATTGTTCCTTTGAAATTCTCGAAAAAATAATTTAGATTAGGTCATATCTTTTGTATGTCTACCGATGTTGATTGTAAAAAAAAATATTGGCCATATTTTTAATATTTGTGATCTGTTAAAGTTTTCGTATATTTTTAGCATTTTAATTGTTAATAACCCGTTCCTACTAATTGCGGGATATTCCGAGATGCACCCTATAATTTCATGTTTCGCATTATTAACAAATTTTAAAATTAAATTTATACATATGTAAAATTAATAATACAATAAATTTAAAGAAAATTTTCATTTATTTAAAAGAATTTCTTGAGAATTATGATATTTAGGACAGAAAGACCTTTGAAGCAGTTTTTTTTTTTTGCAATTTTACTGCTTCAATCAATATTATAGTTATTTTAGGATATTTAAGATGTCCTGAAATTAAAATATTTTCTTTCTTTAAAACTGCAAACATTATTATCAGTCCTTCCTGGAATCCACAACGGGCTGGAGTGGGGCGCACCGTACCTGGATGATAATTGACGTAATATAAGCGGGCTGGAGTGAGTACCACAATAGAAAAAATTTTTGCTATCAGGTACATTTTTTCAAATAAATGCCGAAGGTAGGAGCAAACGAGAATTCAGTTCCAGTTTTGACTTAACAGAGACAAGATGTTGCCACTCCTACCATATAGAAAGCTGGAAACATTAGAAAATAATTTATTAATGAGTCAAATGAAAATAGATATACAGATGGAAATGAGAAAAGGTGAGCGTTGCGAAGGTACCTTCAAAGGGGTGGTAATACCATTCAAAATAGAGCCGACACCGTGCAGAATGTTGACTTCCCCTGAGAGTGTTAGTGCTTGGATAGATACAATAGTTAAGTTGGAGATTAAGGTATGGACAGTGTTCGAAGAAGAGATGGATAAATTTGTATCCATTTTCAAAGACTATGCAAAGTACTTTAGCGACGATTTGAATGGATTCGACATCCCAGGGAAAGATATGTTTTTGAGGTCTATAA